CTTCAGCTCAGGTCATGATCCTGGAGTCCCGGGATCGAGTCCCACATCGGGCTCCCTGCTCAGCGGGGAGTCTGCTTCTCCCTCTGATCCTCCCCCTCTCATGCTGTCTCCCATTCTCTCTCTCAGATAAATAAATAAAATCTTTAAAAAAAAAAAAAAAAGAATTCTTCCTCCTTGCTGGTGGGAATTTGAAAGAGAGTTTGGTAGTTTCTCACAAAGCTCAACATAGTCCGAACAGATGACGTAGGAATTGCACTCCTACATATTTATTCAACTAATTTTAATATTTGTGTTTACCCAAAAACCTGCATGAAAATATTTATAACAGCTTTATTCATAATTGCCAAAAACTGAAATGTGAACAAGATGCTCTTCATCCATAGAATGGATAAAGAAACAAACAAAACTGTGGTAGATCCATGCAATGAAATATTATTCACTAGTAGAAATAACTGTCTAGCTTCAAAAAAACATGGAGAAACCTCAAATGTATATCACTAGGTAAAAGAAGCCAGTCTCAAAAGGATATAAACTCTGATTCCATTTATATGACACTGTGAAAAGGTAAAACCATAGAGACAATGAAATGATCAGTGGTTGCCAGGGATTCCGGAAGAGGGAAGAAAGGCTGAATAAATGAAGCACAGGAGATTTATAGGGCAATGAAACTATTCTTTTTGATATTACTATAATGGGTACATGATGTTAGGCTTTAGGCAAAACACATAAACTTTAGAGAACAAAGAATTCATCTTAATATATATATACATTTAAAAGAGTCATTTAGGAAGTTAGAGGATCCAAAGAGGGGTTGCAGCTGTAACAAAACAATCTTGTTGCATTTCAAATGTCTGTTACCATCTCCTTGAAAGGAATAGGGGGGAAATGTGCTGACCTAATGTACATTAGGTAACTTTGGAAATGAATGGAGTCAGTAAGACAAAAGACTAAAGACTAAAGACAAAAGGGATTGCATATGGTACTGTATTCTAGTGGATAAAGTTCTTTCACATGAAGGTATGGTTAATAATTCTGATATTGCTACATATATATATATATATATATTGAAATTAAACAATTAAGTAAGTGGGGCGCCTGGGTGGCTCAGTTGGTTAAGCGACTGCCTTCGGCTCAGGTCATGATCCTGGAGTCCCGGGATCAAGTCTCGCATCCCGCTCCCTGCTCAGCGGGGAGTTCTGCTTCTCCCTCTCATCCTCCCCCCTCTCATGCTCTCTTTCTCTATCTCATTCTCTCTCAAATAAATAAATAAAATCTTTAAAAAAAAAAAAAAGAGTGTAAAACTTGTTCTTGCTCCATTCACTGAAGGGGCAGTATTTCGTACTCGGGCTGGTTAGAGGAAGATATGCACACAACACCACCATATCTGACATGTTAGATGACACCAGATAGAGAAAGTGAATGACCTATATTCAATACCAGGTAAAATTCCCAAGTACTTTTTCTAAGAGTATTTCTAAGTCAAAAGTTGACCAAGGTTTTGTGAGAACCTACCTAATTTACATCTCATTCCAAATATTGAACAGTTTGCTATAGCCATTCTTGTCTAATTAGTAATCAGCAAATAATCAAAATACACAGAAATGCAGGTATTATGGCATGGTCTTTAAGGATAGACTGAAAAGACAGGCTACCTTTATGCTTAATCCAAATCCTCCTACAGTTTGTCTTCTAATGGTCACCGTTCTTTCCTGAAAGACAGGATTTTAAAAGAGGTTAGCATTTCTTAATACTATACTTACACACCATTTTCCTTCTCTGGATTCTGTTTTTGTTCCTTAAAAAAGAAATATTTTGTGACACCATACAGGCTCTAATTCTTGCAACAAATGGAGTATTTTGTAATTTTCAAAGCAAAGGTTAATTTATTTGTCTAGATAAAAGGGACTGTACTGTTATTAAACTTCTAAATTCCCCCAAAATAGGTTCCATTCAATGATTCTTTGGACATATTTTGGAATTTTAATTTTTATCTTCTCATTTTCTCATTTTCAGACTATATATTCTTGTTGTCTAAGAGATGACAAGTTCGGGTTACATAAAAATAACTCTATGTCAATGGTAAATATTATCTTTGTCAACCAAGGTCTTATCTCCATCAGTATCAAGCATCTTGCTTGCGGAAATTTGAGAGCTGAGCTGGGAGGCTGCCATGTCCCAGCACATTAATGATTCATGTGTGTGTCTAGAATTGAAACTCTGGATAAACCAGGTTTAAAATGATTGCTTATTTGAAAAAAGAATGGACTTTACAACTAATAATGACAATGGAATTATCAATTTTCAAGGCAGAGGAGAAGCATGTCGAAAGTTTGAAAGCTTTTATTTATAATCTTCTCCACTTACTTATAACTTTCTCATGTTTTTGAACCTCCCCCATCCATAATGGTTTGAGACACCCTCCCCCTTCTCCTGCTGTACTTGGGGTAGATGCTGGTCCCCACAGATGCCCAACTGATTTGACTATATTACCCATTCCCAAATACTGTTCTCTTTCTTATAGATTTTTTCCTTTACTCCCTGGTTTTAGAGGGGCTATGTGAAGCAAATTATATTATTTAAAAAGAACAAAGAGAAAATCTGGAAAAAATGTGCTTCTGATGGCTCTTCCTAAATATTTTAAGATAGCATAAAACCTCATCATTTTGGCAGTTACAACATACCTTCATTTAGCCAAGGTTTTAGATTTCATAAATAAAAGCAAAAAAAAAAATGCTTAAAGAACAAGATCACTATACCAGAAATTGAGGTATATTAACTGTTATTTGTTTTGAATTAAAAAGTAAACTTTTATGGTTGGAGATTGGTGCAAATGAGTAGCACTTAATTATCTAAATTTTCTTCCTTTTTATCATATCCTAAGTAATTTGACCTATTTTAAAACTACAGATTTTACTCTTATAAAATCATCTAATTATGTTTTCAAGCCAACATTAAAATTACTTACACAAAGTAAGTTTATAGGTACATTACAATTTATGCAAAGCAATATGAAATATAAAACATATTATTCATGTTAAATAATACCATAAAGTCTACTTTTTTATTTGTAAGCCAACTATTATATCACTCCCCATTGGCGGAGGTACAAGTATGGGAAGATGCAGTACTTTAAAACTTATATTGCAAAATCTATGTATATAAGCATATCTTCATGTACAAAAGCAAAAAGGAAAGTAGGCACATGCATTATACACACAGAAAATCTAATTTAAAATAAATTAAATATTTATTGGAAATGTTCTTTTGTTGGACAAGATAAGAACAATCTGTTAAACTAATTAATCTTTGTTTACTTCTCATTAAAGGATTAATTAAAGCTGTACATTGCAAAAATGGAATTGAAATCAAAGAATCTTTCAATGACTCAAATATCCACAACTTAATATGATTGGAAAATTACTTAAGCCCTGTGAATCTCTTTTTCCAAATCTGTAAAATGGTGATAAATAATACATAGTAACAGCTTTGTTTTGAGGATTGATATTTGTGAAGGACCCTGGCATATAGTAGAAACTTAATGAATATTCTCTCTCTCTCTCTCTCTCTCTCACACACACACACACACACACACACACACACACACACACATCTGTTATTCTAGACAGAAATTCTTACTTAGTAGTCACTTAAATCTGATTAATATTTGTCCACTCTGTATTTCAATAGTTACATCACACAGTAACTCAAATACTGGAATTCTCAACTCAAGGATAGGCCAATTAAATGGTTATCTTTACTCATAAAACAGACTGGCAAACTGCTTTCACAGTACTGCCTATCAAACTGAACAGGTTCTTAGATGGTAGAGTTGTTTTCTTAATTCCATTTCTATAAGGAATAAATTCTTGATTTTCTCAAAGTAAAGAATTCAGTCTGTCAAAGAAAATATATTTTATTAATAAATGATATCAGCTAAAACATCTTGCATAGAAATCATTAGTCACAAAGACAACTTGGTGAATAAATTCTATTAGTTAATAGTGTATGCCAAGTGTATGCTGAAACACTGCTTTTCTCTGAAGGGACAGCAAGAATGACAGGGTGATCAAAGGTCCATGCAATGCCTTTACTTCTTCTCTACAAGACTGCTTTCCAGTCTTTGGTGAAGAATATTTAGAATATGTTCCAAATCAAATACAAAGTTGCTGGTGCAGAGAGGAGTTGGAGAGACTAGAGAGTCAGCAGTAACTGCTGAAAATCTCAGAGGCAGCACTTATTTTAATGTATTTTAAATACATGGGCACACATATGCACATGCAAACCCCAGCCAGCACCTCTACATGCTATTGCTTCATTAGTTTGCTTTTAAGAAAGTAAAGAGAAACAAGCAAGACAGATTACTTCTTGTTTTAAAACCAAAATATTAAATTTGTCACTGCAGGTAGCCAGAAGTATAGTATGGCAAGCAACTGTTCCCAGTATGGCACCTTGCTGATATTCTTTCCACTGCCTGTATGTTTGTGTTAGCTACACCTTCTATCCCCTTTCCACTTCTCCACATTTGGTTCTTCCATCCTGCCCCCCCCAAATAATTTTTTTTAAAGGCAATATAATGAATTGTTTCAGCTGTTCACCTCATAAATCAGAGAATATCTGACAGCTGATCTGAAGTTGTATTTAGTTACATCTTGGGTGTCATAAAGACATTGCCTAAGTAACAAAGCACTGTCCTGCAGGAAACCAATGTATTATTGGTTATTTTATTCTTTAAAATATAAAATCAAGACAGGTTCCCCCATATACTTACATGTATAAAAAGCCTCTCTTTAATCGTCCTAATCCTTATAAAATGTAAAGGATGGAGCCCAAAAATAATGCTGGACTTATAAAAACATGTTGTAGTGGCACCTGAGTGGTTCAGTTGGTTAAGCAACTGCCTTCGGCTCAGGCCATGATCTCAGGGTCCTGGAATCAAGCCCCAGGTCAAGCTCCATGCTCAGTGGGGAGCCTGCTTCTCCCTCTCTCTCTGCCCCTCCCCCTGTTTGCGCTCTCTCACTCTCTCTCTGTCAAATAAATAAAATCTTTTAAAAAAAAGATGTGTTGTACACCTAATCAGCATAAATGTTATGACAAAATAAAAAAAAAAAAACTTGCTTTAAATGTTTAATTTGCTTTATGTAAAAATCTAATTATTGCCACCCTTGCCCTCTGGAATATTATATTTGAAAAACTCTATGTATACCGTATGACCTATATGGGACTATAACCAAAATATACATGTTACCAAACACAAAGTGTTGCTATGGTATATCCCAAGTATAGAAATGTTTGAGATATGTAGGTGAAAAGAGAAGGAAGAAATAAGAACAGTGCAGAAACTAGAGAGTTATCAAATGGAAAATTTTTTGTACTGAGTATGTGGGGTGGAAACAAAGAAGATATATAAGAAAAGAGATAGGGAACGTTATTAGCTCTTTCTGACAGTTCAGGAAGAGTGAATAAACTTGAAAAAGGAATAATAATAAAGATGGTAACAACTAGGTACTGAAAATCAGCTATGTGAACTGACAGGTCTCATAGCACATATGATTATTAAAATACATTGTGACTTTGACTTTTTCTTGTGAACTAATTTTTCTGAGAGCTGAGTCTTGTTCACAGTCGAATCCCAAAAATTTAGCATAGGGCCTATATCAAAGTTAGGTATTATGCATTAAGTGAAAAAAAAATTTTTTTTTGCAAGTTTTTTCCCAAGTAATCTTCATAACAGCACTTGGGATAGGCAATATTTTCCTAATTTAGAATGAGAAAACCAAAATACAAAGGAGTTAAGTTAACTTGACCAAGATCCAAATCATGATTTAAATGAAAATATCTCTGATTCCACTATAACAACAGGACTGAGATCAGATGAACTGGGATGAAAGAAACAAAGAAACTGGAAAATCAGGGTACAATGTAATGAAAAGAGGGGATTGTGAGAAACTGAACGTTTTCCCTCTAAAATCAGGAAAAAGGCAAGGATCCTCTCATCACTCCTCTTACATTGTGCTTGGAGTCTCAGCTAGTGCAAAAAGGCAATAATCTGAAGTAAAAGGCATTGTCTATAAAGAATAGACAAAAACCTACTGGAAATAAATAATTGTAGCAAGGTCACAGGAGACAAAAAATATACGAAAATCAATTGCTTTCCTATACATCAGCCCTGAGAAATTAGAATTTGAAATGAAAATCACAATATCATTTATAATAGCTCACTAAAAAGGAAATGGTATAAATCTAACAAAATAAGTAAGGACTTATATATGGAAAACTACAAAACTTTGGAGAAAGAAATCAAAGATGATCAAAACAAAGAGAGATATTTCATGTTCAGGGACTAGAAGACTCATTTTTCAGATGTCAATTCTTCCCAACTGGATCTATAGAATCAATGCAGTCCCAATAAAATCTCCACAAGCTATTTATGAATATTAATAAACTGTTTCTAAGGTTAACATGGAAAGCCAAAAGACCCATATTAGCCACCACAATATTGAAATAAAAGAAAAAGTTGGAGGACTCAGGATGCCTGATTCACAATTTACTATAAAGCTATAGTAATCAAGACAGAATGAAATTTTTGAAGACTAAACACATAGATTAC